CGCTTTGTACAGTGCTAGTCATGTAAATGTATGCATTGCATGGTGCACCAGGCATGGTAGATCTACACATCAGTGCAGGAAGTGTAGATGTGTATGGTGCATGCACGACATTTGACAGGTCTGAGGACCCCAGGCACATGAGTCGTGCTAGAGTAGCATAGGTGTGTGCACTGTGATGCACTGATCAAAATGATGTATCACATGTGGATATGGTCACGTGACCCACTGAACCTGGATAGGAAGACCACCTGGCCACGGCGACCACTTTTTCTCGTCCCTTGAGGGGTCGCCTTAGACAGGTTTCACTGTATTTCGTACGGAGCAGTGCAAGCAAACTCTACCAAGAGAGTCTGTGAGCTGGAATGCCAGTATATTGGGGAAAACAGGCCAGCATGCAAAGGGTTAATTTTTTGTAAAAAGGCGTCGTGGAGACAATAATCTTAATAATGCAATGAATATAACTAAATGCGCACTCATATCACAACCATGGGGACGAATAGCACACGTGCACATGCATGTCCAATGTCACACTGCACTTGCTGAATTTCCTATCATTTCTCACCTCACCTATAGTTTCTATTACCTGTGCAATTTTTTTCCTAAGTTTGTGCTATTTGTCTTAATATACTTGTATCCTCGTTGTTTCACTCCAAGTGTATAAATCCTATTGTAGTTTCATCATTCTCTTTAGTCATGAATTCCACTGATAACTGTGACAAGAAAACGTTCTGGAATACATTATTCGTCCCCATGGTTGTGATATGAGTGCGCATTTAGTTATATTCATTTCATTTTTTTCATTGCTAATTTTGCGACTATTGTCTCCTCAAGAAAGTAAGTAAAATTCTGCATCCATTTCAGTCACCACCACCACCGTTGCGCAGTATTGACTCCTCAGCGGTTTTTAAATATCCCAAGTATAGTAAAATATTACAATAACTTTTTTCTCTATGGCGTGTATGTGTCATGATTGTGGCCTACATAGACAAGTTTAAAAATCTGAGGAAGACACACAAAATGGCAAAATTTCATGCATTGACATCCCTCCAAAAACACGGGTCCCCACAATTTTTAACCCTTTCACTGCCACTGTCGACGAAAGTCGACAGCGCATTCATGCACTCTGAGTGCCACTGTCGACGAAAGTCGACAAGCAAACATGCAGTCCCCAGTGCCACCGTCGACAAAACGTCGACTTTTGTCGACAGGCAGACTTCACCCAGTTTGGGCCACTATTTTTGACTATTAGAGATGTTTAGCCGTGGTAGAGGGCCACTAGGCCCTAGAAGAGGTCCATACCCATCGAAATACGCTGCCAGAAGCATGGGTTGCCATTTGAAAAAAATCGAACCAGCGTAGTTGAAAATGCGCATCTGATTTTTAGCCGAGCGGCGTGAAAGAAATCGGTTCTCACGCACTTCCACCTTGCTGAGTCGGTGCCAGTTTTTTCCTCTTTCCCGTCAACTTTCATTGCAAGGAGCATGACATTTGGTTCAGACTTGATGCCTAGCCATTGCCCAAGCCTCCAGGCGGCTATCCATTGCGATAGGCGGTTGGAGTAACGGGTAGAGACAACCACACGACGGATTCCTCACGGACGCATTCACTGCAAACTTGGCGGAAACAGAGCTGGCGGCGCTCACCGAGTCCAGAACTAAACTTTTCTAAGAACTACCACGTTACAATGGCGACCAGCACAGTCAAGAGACACTACAGGTATGTCAGCTACAACATAATTATATTCTTTCTACAACGACACCTACCTCAAGCTCAATTCCTGACGATCTACTGCAAGCTGATGCAAAAGTGCATTACACCCGCGAACGCCGCGCTTGTCAACGGAACAGGGAAGGGCTTCACTCTCCGAAGTCGAAATGTATTCGGACTGCTGCTAGTCAGGAGAACAAACGACCACCATGGCGGCAGAACATTCCGCAGCTGTTCACCGACACGATCTGCTTCACCAAACGACTTACGATCGTTTCGTTCTCCGAGTGTTCTGGTGGCAGCAACTAGAATTTCGTCCGCAACAACAGGACGAAAGTCTCACGCAACTGAAGTCCTGTTGCCACGAAGACAGAGAACATTCCGCACGCCATCTCTTCTGCTTCCAGTGTTGTAGCTCTCCGGTCCACTGGCAAATCTTTCAATCTCAGCTAACAAAAAAAGGATCTGCTTCTCTCTCCAAAACAACAACTAACTTTACTTCGCGAGTGTCCGGGCCGATCGTGTACATAGTGTATGTAGCGCATGCGGCGCACGGCGCACTTTCGCATGACATGACATGCATTTTGCACAACGGCTGGCGCTAGCGCCCAGCACGGTTGCACTTCGGATTTTGCGATTTTTTCAACGGCAATGGCTTCCTTTATGAGTTGTCTACCTATGATGTATACTTTGGAAAGCGATATTCCGTACAGAAAGTACCAAAAAAATCCATGAGAAGTTGGCCTTTCGATTTTTCGAGCTGGAGGCAAATGTGCCTGGCAGGGAGGGAGTGTACAGCTCAGCTGACAGCCTGGCAGGGAGCGCCTTGTCACCTTGAGTGGTCAGCTGGCAGTGAAAGGGTTAAGCCAATCAACATCAGCAATGAACATGGAATAAAATCCCAAGTTGATAAAAAATTCTGTGCTTTGTGATTTTTGGAGTTTGGTGGTCTGAGCTACCGGAGAAACAGAAAACAACAACATCTGCACGGTTTACAGATTTGACCTTTGCCTGAAAGTGCAGACGAGAAAACTTGCTTCTGGTGTGACTCTAGACAGGCTTTTGTCGTGGTACATTGGCCAGCGCGTACTACAGTTCAATACGGCTCCACCGTATTTGAATCTCGACCAGGAATGGTGAAGTTTGACCCTAGTAGGCCGGCTTAGGTGACTTTGTATGACATACGTTTAGAGGAAGGTATCTCGTCATCTGCCATTTTAGTAGTTTCTGTAGAGCAAGAAATCTGGCCATTAGCACTCAAGGGGATGGCAAACATGGTTTTTACGTTAGTTCACAGCAAGTGAAATTGCAGTGCACCACAACTGCTACTCATGAAGACACTCAACTTACTTTGAAGCATTTCCAAATCCTGGCTTCCAAACACTGGACGAATACACAAACACAACCATGCAAAAGCACACACACACACACACGCACACGCACGCGCGCGCGCCCACACACACACACACACACACACACAAAACACACACACAGACACACACATACACAAAAACACACACCCACCACACATGCATGCACAAACATATCAAAAATAGACTTGGGTGGAGAGCCAAGGATCAATTTATAGTAGTAAAGAAAGAGATCAAGGAACTACAAGTTACGCTATAACGAGCGTGCATCCGAGACGTGCCAGAGCTGAAAGCCAGTTAGCTGTAGAAGGTCAGTGCCGTCGGTCAGTGTCGTGCAATGTTATCGCCTGAGCTGATTGTTAAGTAGCTGGTGGTGTTAGTGGACATTATAGCGAAACTTGTAGTTCCCTGGTGATTTTCATTACTGTATATGAAAACATATTTTGCTCCAAAACTGGTCAGGAAAAAGCCGCATGAGGTGATTTGAAGGCGGCGATGGAGAGTGACAGACAACAGAAGAATGTCCATAAGATGATTTCCAACAGCCAATGTTTGAGTTTGTGCGAAAGTTTGCTGGAAACCAGCTCCTAACAGAGAGGAATTGTGGAAGAGTGGTTCCTCGTGCAGAGTAGGTGACAAAGAAACCAGTGTCACGTCTCTGGACGTGACGACTGCGACTCTCCATATCTTTATTTCTCTTTCTTCTCGAATGATTGCCGTACGTTTATTCTGCTTTTCTGCTGACTGGCTGTGCATATTCCAGTTTTGCCGGTTATACTAATTCCTGGGAGCACCTTGTGCCATTCTATCCAATGATCGCCCCATCTCTACGCGCTGTAAAAGAAGCTATCATTTGTAGTGTCCCACCCCAGGGGGTTCTACTCGGACTCGCCCAACTCGATCACACACACACTCGAGGCCATTACAGATTTCAGTACATCTCCAACTCCATATCCGAAAAAGACCAAGCTCACGTGCGAGCATGCGCACTACATACATATGGTCCATGTCCAGGACATGACAATTTCCCTTCACTAGTTGAGGCGAAGCATCTAGAACTATGCAATAGTAAACATATCAACATGCAATCTCAAAACTCACAACTGCCGAGACATAATATTTCATGATACACTATACACCATAATTATATACAGCAAGTATGTATGTATGTATAACTCATAATCACAAGGTGATCGTAGAGGCATTAATCAGCGAGAGAATTGTGAATGATGTCTCTGAATCCAACTCTATCGTGTGCTGCATGAGAGAGAGCATGCAAGGGAAGACCCGTCCAACTTTTAATGTTAGAAATTAGGGGTGAAACGAGTATCTATTTTGACCAATCGATCACTCGTTCATAATATTCGATCGAGTATCCGATTATTTCGAGTATTTTATCAAAATTCAAAAGGGCTAGATTTGTGAGTTCTCCACAAAGTCGGGAAGAAATTATCTGTGAACATAAAAAACAAAAGTCGCCAACGTCTTGTACAGAGTGTAAAGTAACGATTTTCATCAGTACTGTCATATCTCAGAACGTTAACTGACGTTATTTGCCGTGGTGATCGCATCGTCCAAGTCATAAAATACTGACTCAAAGGCATGCATAACACATGCATACCAGTGGACGAGCGGTACAACAAAGGTTTTTGAAAAATAGAATGCCAATACTAAAAAAAAAAAAACAAAAAAAAAACAAAACGATCGAGTGCAAAATTTCGAATACTCGCTCGTTTGAAATTTTCGAACGAATACTCGAATATTCGAACTAATCGTTTCACCCCTATTAGAAATCCATGATGTCGCGGACCTTCCTCTCGGTCGAGATCCAGGAGTTGATCCTTGCAGGAAGGGCTTGGAGAAAACGTCATGTCTCGTAACATGGCCAAACCACATCAACTTAAATTTCTTGACTTCGTTCGCTAGCCGCATCCTTGCTCCGATGATGTCATTGATTTCTTCCAGGATAGATTGGTTGGTACGCCGGTCGTGGTATGTTACTCCTAAGAGTGGGCGGAAGCATTTCATCTCGAAGGATGAAATTCTTCTCATTGATGAGGCAGATAATGTCCAAGATTGGCATCCGTATAAAACAGTTGCTAGCACAATAGACCTAACAAAACGAAATTTAGTAGGCAAAGAAAGTGATGGCGATTTCCAAATGAATTGAAGCTCAATGATCTTTTGCTTCCCTAGTGCTAAGCGTCTTCTTATTTCCACATCGGACTTGCCATCCGACGTGATTACGGCACCTAAGTATTTAAACTGGGATACCTCTTCTATTCGCTCATTGCCTACTTGAATGCACCCCAGATCACCACCGCCCTCCGGCGCTGCCATTGACTTGGTCTTGGAAGCATTGATCTGCATGCCTTGTCTTGTTGCACTCGTATCCACGCGCTCGGTCAGGTCCATCAGCTCTTCCACAGACGATGCGATTAGATCTATATCATCCGCAAAACGTAGGTTGGTCACGCACATGCCGCCGATACATACTGACCCATCAAACTCCTCCAGAGCGTCAGACATGATGTACTCCAGGAATACGTTGAACAGACAAGGCGAGAGTAAACAGCCTTGCCTGACACCCACTGACGTGGTGAACCAATCGGTGATAGTGGATCCAACAACGATGCCAGCTTCAGTAGTAGCGTAAAGCGCTTCAATCAGGTCCACAATTCTTGCTTCGATGCCATGCGCTTTCATAATCTTGAATAGCGCATCAAAGGCCTTACGGAAATCGATGAAGCAATGATACACAGCCTGCTGATGATATACACCATAAATATATAATTATATACAATATCCAGCAGAGTCCAAAATATATCATTTAAACTCCACAGACTAGAATAGGTCTATATGAACCGTGTGTTCTGAACGTCAATCCTTGAAACGAACTGGTCGAACAGTAGCGCGGGTTGACCGTCGTTCAGCTTGCGGTGACGATGTTTTGCTGTAGCTGGCACGTGAAGTGCTAACCGACGCAGACTCACTAGTACCGGTTGTTGCTGAGACCGGCGCGCCTAGCTCCGCTGCCGTGACACTGGCGTCGTTGTTGCTGAGTGACGGCTGTGTCGGAACCTGAGCTGTTAAACTTGCTCCACTCTGCTCAGACACCCCTGCATCGAGCTGAGGGATTTGCCGAGGACGGAGCTGGTTGCGATGGCGTTTCCACATTGCATCACCGACTTGTATCTGATACGTCATCGGACTGAGAACAGCCGTGACCACGGCTGGGGCCCACTTATCTCCTCCTTTGCCAAAATTCAAAGCCAGGACAGCTTGGCCGCACTGAAATTCCGGCATGTGCTCCAGATTGTTCTCGTAAACCTCCACGCCCTTACGCCCTTCCATTTTCAAACGATCATATTTGATGCGATGTTGTCGCCCCATCAACATCTCGGCCGGTGTTTTTCCATTCGCCTGTGGGGTAGTACGATGCGAGAGCAAAAACCTCTGCAACTTTGAGTGAAGTTGCCCTGGTTCATCATCCATGACTTTCATTTTGCTCTTGAAAAAAATCCGTACCGTTCTGCCATTCCATTGGTGGCCGGATGGCCAGGAGCGGTACACGTGTGATGAATTCCATTCTTCCGCAAGAACGTTTGAAATTCGTCGCTTATGAACTGTGACCCATTATCCGTGACTGTGCGAGATTTATGAGTGTCAGTTGTCATGTAGTCAAGGAGGGAGTGTGCGAGATTTATGAGTGTCAGTTGTCATGTTGTCAAGGAGGGAGTGTGCGAGATTCACGAGTGTGATTTTGAGTGTGATTGGACAGGACACTGCGCTGAAATAGAATGAGTGTCGTTGTGATAACATCATTTACGAGTGCGTTGTTACGATACAGTGTTTGTTGTGCGTGTTTGTTGGATACGCCGAGAATAATCAGTTGCATAGATAATACTTACGTTGTTGCTTGCATTCTCGCTCTCCACAACAACTCCACTGCGTGCTGCGTTCTATGTATTCCTATTCTGTACACTGACTCTCTCTGACAGGGTTTGCTGTCACCCTGTCTCTGGGCGCAAGCACCCTCTGACAGACCAAACTGATTTGCTTCATCTCCACAATATTTATCTCCTTTCGATTTGAATTTCTGTTTGTTCTGCACTCTGATTTTTCCTTGTTGCACCTGCGCTTTTGTACGCGGAATTTTGCTGTCGCCATCGCGTCGCCATTATTTATATCCATGGTTACGTTGTGGTATGACTCATCGATGCATCATGCATGATCATTCTGCTTTTCTACTCGTACACTTCGATATGCATGCACGCACACTGCAGTACACGTAAGCCAATGCACGCACGCGGGCACGTTTTGCTGATGACAGCGATTTGGCGATCGTTGTTGTTGTTGTTTTCTGGTTGATTTGAGAGTATGGTTGAAACCAATAAGTAAATGCAGTCTTCTAGTTGTCTCCATGAAAAGGCCAGGAAATCGCGCTACAACAGGGGTCTGAAGACCGCGTAGTTTTTAGTTGTGGTCGATAATTTCACAGTGACGATATGGTTTGGCAGGCCGAAAATAGCAAACACGCGTTGCAAAGCCATTATTGTTGACGCTGACGTAGCATGGGACGACGGAATAGCGTGGTAGTAGACGGACTTTCCCCTACACAAATCACTATTTATTACTAAGTATTGCACTATGCAGTGCTGGCACCATCAGATCCCTTGCGTTCATTCGCTAGCTAGCGCTCGGAGCTGTAACTGGCAATCTCGTACCGTATATAGATCCGTGTGTCAGTTGCCCAGTGTTGTAGTTGTAAGTCTAACACTACTTCTCCATCACTGCATCAGCTCAACCGCCACCACTGGACTGCCTTTTTACACTCTTTTATTGACGAATAAACAAGAACACGGAAAACGACTACATCTTGACAAGACGACAGACCAAAGACTAGCTCACACAGTTTCGCGCATGCGCACAACACCACCAACCAATGACGCGTGTCCACAGCGACCAAGACGAAACAAACACGTGACACCAAATCTACCTGTTGTACATGTGGCTGCGCTTGTGTCTCTTCGTAGTACATGCGGTTGCACGTGTAGCTCTTTGTCGTACATGTGGCTGCTTTTGTGTCTCTTTGTTGTACATGCTGCTGAGTCGTGGTACATGCTGCTGCGCTGTTTTTGACTCCTGCGTACATGCGGCTGCACCGTCTTCTGTCCCCGTTGGTACACACTTGCTCGTCTTGTCCCCGTTGTACGCCTTCAATCTAATATATTCTGTTGTCTTGTCTTGTCTCAGTGTCAGTCGTCCGTCGTTCGTTGTCAGTGTTAGTTGTCTGATAACCATGAGTTCTCCATCGCCTACTGAAGCGAAGTAGAAGAAAAAGCTCTCTAACAATTTGTACTGGCTCTTTGTTGTGTGGCGTGGCGAGGGGCGTAGAGACAGTTCGTTCACGGTTCTCAAACCCGAGACGACATTTGGCGCCCAACAAATCGTATCCACGACCCTGAGTTCGTCTCCATATCAGCTGTGTTTTCGTCTCCTCTTCGTATTCTCGCCATGGCCCAGCTACTTGAGTCTCACGAACGTCCAAGCCTCTCATGAGCGCGCCTACTCAGGTGAGAATGCCTTTGTAATTGTCTACTCTGCGTAATGTGTTGCCGTAACTTGTATTCGATTTCGAATTTTTTCAAATTGTTTTGCGTTGGGTGACTCTGGTCCCGGCAGGAGGTCCGTGGAACCTTGTTCTCTTGTGCTCGAGTGTGTAGTGTAGTCTAGCTGCTCGTTGTCCGTTCGCCCCGTTGTGTTCGTTGTTCCTGTGTCGCTCTGACTAGTAGATCGATTACCCTGTACTGTACGGTTGTGTGTATGAAAATTTCAAACTTCTGTTCGTGTGCTACGCGTTCGAATCTGGAACTTGTTTTTGCTTGCTCGTTGTCGCAGACCGATACATTCTCTGTTTCGAGTTGTTTGCATGCGTGTGTTGTGAGTGGATCACGATAGATTGAGACGCTCGAATTATTGCTAGAGTTTCTTACCTGAGATGTATTTTCGCTGCGATTGAAGTTCTGCTGCAGAAGTGTTAGGATTATTTACCACTACCTGACAGGGTTTGCTGTCACCCAGCGTCGGGTGCTAACACCCTCTGACAGGTGTAACCCTTCAGCTTCATTCTTTTCTTCTTTCTTTCACAACCGTATTTTGAATTTTCTGTTTGTTTGATTTTGCTCTGCACCTGGTCGTTGCTTGCAGACCAGTCGCCATATTTTCTATAGTTACGCTGACTGTGCAGTCGCGTACTCATGACGTAGTAGTGTAGTGTGTCTTCTAGAAGCCGTGTCAGATTTGTTCTCTGGACCCTTTCGCTTTCTTTGACATCACGTATCCATATCTAGAAGCCGTGTCAGATGTGTACTCCTGACCCTTTCGCTTTCTTTGACATTACGTATCCATATCTGTTTTACGGGAGCTTTTGTGAACCCGCGCGGTCGCGCGCATGGTTCCCCCGCATCTTGCTGTGTTGTACGATAATTTGGTACTACGTTATCTTCTTTATCCTTTTCTGGACATCTTGGTCCTTTTCGGGCCTTCTTGTTCAGGTTTTCTTGTCGTTTGTCTTTTGTCTCTTTGTCTTTCAATCGTGTGATTGTTGGAACCAGGTTGCCTACGATGTCTCCTACGACCCTTGTGTGAAGTATTATTGAAGAGCCTTGTTGGCCACACTCGTCGTGAATTCAGCATGGGTAGCTTTGATCTCGTCTTGTATTGTGCACTTGTGCTTGTCACGGAGACCGAGTTGCCGCCGGACTGCTCCGATATTGTGACTGTGTCGCGTGATTTGTTTGGATGTCCACCTGAACGTTCTCGAGGTGCTGCCTCGTTTGTAGTCGATCCATTTTGTTTTGTTTCGTGTTTCTACCGTTTCACTAGTAGATCTACTAGTAGTAGTAGTTTCTCCATGTTCCGTGCAGAGCGTTGTCAGGCTCGGTCATGCACTGTGCACCCAGTCGGAAAGCTGGTGGCTTCCGGTTTGGTGGGAGGTGTGAACTTCATGTAGGATTCTCGTTTCGGATCCAGGTTGAATTTTTTTGTGAGCGTATGGTTTTGTAATAATTGTGTTTCGGCATGTGGGTTTCTCTAGTTCGTTTGGGTAGGCGTCTGATCATGGTGAGCCACGGTCTGCCTGGTGGTCTGCAGGGATCCTGTGTTTTGTTGTATCGGTTTGCCTTGCGGG